TGAATGATGAATCAGAAAGCAAGAAGAAAGAACTCTCTGAACTAGTGGAGTATCTTTTGGAATTAGAAGAAATCCATTACATGCAAAGATCACGAGCCACTTGGTTGATGAAGGGAGACAGGAACACTGCTTTTTTTTCAAGCATATGCCTCGGCTAGAAGGAAAATGAATATGATAAATAAGCTGAAAGATGAGAATGGAAATATTTTGGAAGGTATGGTCCAGCTTTCACCTCATATTCAGAATTACTTCACTAATCTATTTACATCCGAGGTGCAGCAAGTGAACCCAGAGATCCTTGAGAAGGTTCAGCCCAAGGTAACCACTCATATGAATGACATGTTAATGGCTCCTTTTACTTGTGATGATGTGAGAAAAGCGGTATTCGGTATTGGTGATTTAAAGGCGCCAGGGCCAAACGGTCTTCATGCTATATTCTTTAAAAAGTTTTGGCATATTCTAGGGGATGAAATCACCCAAGAAGTCCTCTTTGCTATTAACTCTAGGAAAATTCCTACCGAATGGAATGATACTTCAATTGTTCTTATTCCAAAGGTTGATACCCCGGAATTCGTAACTCAGTATAGGCCTATCAGCTTGTGCAATGTTCTTTATAAAATTATTTCTAAAATGCTAGCATTGAGGTTGAAGAGTATTCTACCAGACATAATTTCCCCAACCCAGAGTGCCTTTGTTCCTGGGAGGCTTATCACTGATAATGTGTTGATTGCATATGAATGTGTTCATAAAATTAAGAATAAGAGATCTGGCCAGTCAGGTCTATGTGCAGTAAAATTGGACATGCATAAGGCTTATGATCATGTGGAGTGGATATTCTTAAAAAGTATGATGCAAAAAACTTGGATTTCATGAGCTATGGATTGAGATGATGATGTCTTGTGTCAGCTCGGTCAGATATAAGGTTTGTTTCAATTCCCTTGAAATAGATGTATTTGTACCTACCAGGGGTATAAGGCAAGGGGACCCCCTCTCCCCCTATCTTTTCCTCTTATGTGCAGAAGGTTTATCTAGTTTGTTGCGGTATGAAGAAGAAGTTGGTGGCATGGATGGGATTAGAGTGTGTATAAATGCACCATCAGTATCACACCTTTTATTCGCCGATGACTCTCTAATTCTCATGGGCGCAGATGTGTTAGACACAACTTCCTTACAGCATGTACTAGATACCTATTGCCAAAGTTCAGGACAGATGGTTAGCCTGGCAAAATCCAGCATATTTTTCAGTCCAAATACAATTGTGGTTACAAGAACTGAGGTTTGCCAAATTTTTCATATTGATACTGAGGCTCTGTCAGATAAATATCTTGGACTACCAGCTATGGTAGGGGCAGACCGGAGTGATTGTTTTAAACACTTCCGTGAGAGAATAAAAGCTAGACTTATTGGTTGGATGGAGAAGAAACTCTCTACTGGAGGTAAAGAAATTCTTCTTAAGGCAGTGGCACAGGCCATTCCTGTTTTTGCTATGTCAGTTTTTTGTATCCCTAAAGGTGTTTGTAAGGAAATTACAGATGTCATTGCTCAATTTTGGTGGGGGCGATGAGGATAATAAAAGAATGCACTGGTATTCCTGGTGGAAATTATGCTTCCCAAAAAATGAGGGAGGTATGGGGTTTCGAGATCTTTACTCATTCAACCTGGCTATGTTGGCTAAGCAATGTTGGAGATTAATCACAGATCCAGAGTCCCTCTGTGCACGTGTGCTGAAAGCTAAATATTATCCAAACGGAAGTCTATTACAGGCAACACCAAAACAGGGGTCTTCATACACATGGCAAAGTATATTAAAGGGTCTCGAAACATTTAAGAAAGGGTACATATGGAGGATTGGTACCGGAGAGTCAGTGAATATTTGGCATGACCCATGGATTCCTTCAAGTCTGGATAGGAAAGTGATCACCCCCCGTGGACAGTCCCTTGTATCTTATGTTAGTGAATTGATTGATCCTGTTTCAGAAAAGTGGGATGAAGATCTCCTTAGATCAATTTTCATTCCTGTGGATGTGACTAGAATATTACATATTCCGTTGAATATCCAAGCATTCGATGACTTCATAGCCTGGCAGCCAAACAAAACGGGTGTGTTCTCTGTCCGAATAGCCTACAGGTTACAGTGGAATCATACTTTTGGGACACATACAAATACGAATTTGGGCCCAGGTGGATCTGCCCCATTGGCAGTGCGGAGTACTCTTTGGAAGCTAAACATTCCACATAAAGTTCAGATTTATTGTTGGCGGACTCTGCATGGAATTATACCTCTTAAATCTATACTCATGAATAGGCATGTAGGCACTGATGGAGCCTGCCCAATCTACCACCAAGGACCTGAGGATCTTCGCCACCTCTTATTCACGTGCACACATGCAAGGGAGATGTGGCAGCGTTTGAGAATGATGGACACAATTAACCATGCAATTGCAATTGATCGTTCGGGCTCGGCTATTTTGGAGTTCTTGCTCACTTTACCGGACAGTCCATGCCCTCTTGATCCTAGTCTGAATTTTAAACAGGTTGTAGTCGTGTCGTGATGGTATATTTGGTGGATCAGACGCCGCATAACTCATAATAAAGCAGTCCCTCCAATGGTAAGATGGCCTATGTCGGTATTATCAATTGCTAGTAATTACCAGAAGGCCTTCTCGAAATTTGCAGGGGATCAACAACACAAGTGGTGCAGGCCAGACCCAAAGTTTGTGAAAGTTAACGTGGATGCAGCTTTTCATGAGGATGAAGGAATGGGTGCAACTGCTGCGGTTATTAGAGATGAAAAAGGTAATTTTCTAGCAGCCCAATGCAAGCTAATACCATATGCTGCAGATGTTGTGACAACCGAAGCATTGGCAATGAGGGACGGGCTCGCATTGGCAAATTCTCTGGGCTTCAATCGGGTGGAAGCAGAGTCTGACTCGTTACAAGTGGTAAACTATTGCGCATGAGAGTCTAGATGGTGGGATTCAGCAGCAGCTATTTTTGCAGAATGTGTGGACACAACTACTTCTATAGGAAAGGTCATCTTCAAACATTGTTTTCGATCTTCGAATTAAGCAGCGCATGTGTTAGCTAGCCATAGTTATTGTAATAAAGTTTCTCTTAGTTGGTTGAACGAGCCTCCTGACTTCTTGGTCAGTAAGCTTGTTGACGATGTAACGATTATCTAATACCAATAAAGTTAGCCATGATGGTCTTTCCTCCAAAAAAAAGTACATACATGTAGAAACAACCAGCCTCTCGTTCGTCTTGGTCACCGTCCGGTCGCCGTCGAGCTCGCCGTCCCCAGCTTGCTGTCCCATTGGCCTTCCCAATGTCCAGAATGTGCTCACTAAATTCATGAATTTTTCATCTTGATCTTGGGTCGGCCTCATGTACCCAATGGGTCGATGAGGCCATTATTTTTTGATAAAATGGGCCGACCCATGACCTCACGTATTGACCTTGGGGCCGCGGGGCCGGGTCCAAGGACAGGGCCGGGTCGACCCATTCCCATCTTGAGCCGGCCCCTGACCGGTCCGAGTGCCCGGGCCACTTTACCCCGGGTCCCCGAACTGCTCCGTATGCCTGCGCGCATTTCGTGGTCTTTGACCTTGTACCCCTCTCTCCCTCACATTTTGTCCCTAGGCTATATAAACTCCTTCCCTAGCTCATTGGGAAGGATAGCAAAGTATTTGATAGACACTAGAGAGCTTTGCTCCTTGTATCCCCTCCTCTTGGAGATCAAGCCCTCACCTTGGGAAGAATCCTTTGGATTGTCAAGGCCACCTCTTGAAGAAGATCAACATCAAGACCTCACCTCCTAGGAGTGGAAAGAACTTTATCCTAGTACTACTTTCCTTGAATTGTTCATGTATGCTTGTGGATCTCTTGTATGCTACTCTAATGGATGTGTTATTTAAGTTTGTTAGAATGATTTTCTCCTTGTGATTTTGTGTGTTCTTGCTCTCTCCCCACCTCCAAGTGTGAAAAGATCCCCTGTAGGGTTTCACCCTACAACACCATGTCTCCAAAACAATGCTCCCAACAAAGGAACGACATCAAGGACACTACCATTGCTGATCCAGAATTGAATATAGAATTTCGTCCGAAGACAAACAATCAAGTGAGAGTAAGCAAAGTGCCGACCCTTAGAGACTCCTCCAAGAAAGGGAACGGCACCCATGGGCATCGTTGCCGCTGGCACCGACCGAAGACAAGCAAGACTTTCATCCGAATTGTTGCCCACCCGCGACTCTACCCGGCAGAATGGGCACACCAACCAAGTTTGCTTCCTCCGCTGCCACCGCGACACTTCGCCGGAGAAGTTTCAACGCCACACTTCACCACTGTCAGGCACGGCCAAAACCACCACACTGAGCCACCACGACAACCACCAGCACCACCATGGTGCTCAGTAGCCGCTGAAGCCCAGCGTCACCTAGCCTGTCAGCAGCCACGGTCGAAGATCCTGCGGCCAGATCAAGATCGGGCAAGACCACGACCCAGGCCACCGCTGCCACCAAGGCAGTACCATCGGACGGAGCACGCACCACCACCGCCACCAAAGAGCTGAGCTACTGCCGAAGCCTCGCCACACCACACCACCAAGAAATCCAACGGCAAAGCACCACACCGCTTGCCAGCCGCCTCGAAGGAGGGACGCGGGGTTCAGGGTCCCCTGTTTATTGTCACCGTAGAAGTAAACGGCGGAGTGGCTAACGACGCGGTGATGGCAAAGCGGTCCATCTGTCAGGACGACGAGCCGAACCAGAGCTGTAGGCTGCCCACGCTAGACGAGTCCACAAGTCCAGCGCGTTGTAATAAGCCGCCCAATCCATGCTAGACGAGTGCCCCAATGACGAGTAAAATGGAATACAGTAGTAGCAGACGATCAAGAATTTAGTAGAGGATATGTACAGCATCGTTTCTGTTTACTTGCACTAACAAAAGGAAAGGATCCTCCCAAGTTGACGCGCAGTAACAAAAGGGTCAGAGATCCATTCCACTCAGAGGAACTGCTGCAGCCAGGGATTACTGGCTGCATCTTTCTCGAAGTCTGATTTCAGTTTGGCCACCATCTCCGTAGCCTTGCTCCCATCCACCTCATCTAGAGGCAATGCAGAAAAATCCTCCAACAAAAGGCGAGCCCGAGCAGCTCCCCTCGTCACATCATCTGGGCTAAACACCCTCTTGCGTTTCGATCCAACCTGCAATCAGGAAGAGGGTACTAGTTTCAGATATCCCATTACAACACTGCTCAATCCACTGCTTTCAAGGAATTCCTAATCACAAGAAATGCGCCCTTTTTTTTGCCTTGACCTAAATAAGAACAATCATGAAAGGAATGGGAAGGGAGCAAAAGAGAATGTGCATTTTAGTTGTTGATATTAAAAAGACAAGATTTATCTTGACTTTTAGTTGGAGATACCTCGTCACTGGGTTCACCACTCAAGTTAGGTGCACTGGTAAAGTCTTCTAACTCTTCAGCTTTGCTTTTTGCAAGAGCAATGACAGCTTCTGGAAAATTAGCAAATTCCGCAACATGGATACCAAAACTTTGGTCGCAGGAACCAGGTTCAACCTGCAAATGGAAAATGCATTTACCACACTGCATGCAAATGTTGAATTCCTCTTCTTTTCACTCTAATATATAGGTAATACAACCATGTCCATTCTAACAACATTACTCCCTCCGATCCAAATTAACTGTCGCAGCTCTAGTACAACTTTAGTACAAAATTGTACTAGAGCTGCGACAATTAATTTGGATCGGAGGGAGTACAGAATTTAATAGGGCTTCATCTAACAACAAGGATCCATTTGTATTATTTGAAGAAATTTACGACTTGCAACTACAAATAAAAAGATACGAGCATGGATGTAACTCCTGGTAATGTTGGCAGGTCTTTAGCTATTCTCTTCTTTTTCATACAGAGGCCAAGAAGCTTGTTCAATTTCAAATGTATGAGAAAAGACTCATTACCCACCTTTTGGACACAACTACCGCTGGAAAATAGGGACATTATCATGATGAAGACCTAGAGAGGAGGAAAGACAGGAAATTATCAAGTTGCCTATTAGAGATGCCAGAATGGTAATGTAACTTTTCTCCCTTTTCCTGCTCAGTTATCTGAGACAAAGAATCCTCCTACTTAAAAAAATATGTAAGGTTTTGTCGTCCATCCTTTTCTTTCGCCCTCCATCCTAACCCCCACCTCCGTTTCCGGTTTTATCAATTTTTCGCACCGGTTATCCCTGAGGCTCGCCTCAACTGGCCCACATCTTATTGGCTTACAAATAAAATCATGTTTTCTTTGGCAAGTCAATAAGTACTGATTCAATTGCCATTTTTGGTCCGTAATCGCATTAACAATAAAATGACTGGTAAATCAATGCGTACAAAATATCTGTGCCTCCATTGCAACACACAGGCAATTATCTAATTCCCTTGGAAGACTATATGACAGAGAAGTTCAAGCAATTAATGGCATCAAGCATCTAAAACACTGAAACTCATTAGCAGCTATCAAGCGATTCTAGAAAAGACTATAATAAGACAGAATTATAGACAACACAATAAGCCATTAGAAGGATTTCAGAATGTGTTTCGGAATTTCACATCACAGGGTACCTTATAAAGCATAGTCAACTTCCGACTTGATGGGTCTATATGTGCACCCACATGATAATTTGCAATTCCCAAATCTGGAACATGTTGGTGCTGATCACCATTTTTATTTGCTAATGCAGTTAATTCATGAAAATGAGTTGCAAACAATGTAGGCGCCCTAGTCACTTCCACAAGATGCTCACAGATAGCCCATGCAAGACCTGATCGTAAGTAGAATGTAACAACCCAAAATATGAGTTAGATCTTCAAGTTACATTAAATAAAGTTGTATCTTCAAGTTGCCTATAATTTTGGCATACTGCAGTAGTAGTACTATATGCTAGAATTAAGGCGTGGAATTTTGGACCAACGCATCTAACCAATTACAGAGTGTAAGTGAAATGCCAGGAATGAACAATCCTCATGTAGAATGCTTAGTTCAAATCAATTTGCAGTAAATATCATTTTAGAAGTTAACATTTGCAGAACTGTGGTAGGAAATATATATGTAATATAAAATATTTAGTTCAAAGCAAGTTGCATTCAAGTTAATATTGAAAAACTGTATTAGGAAACAGAGATTAACAAACTGGATATGCTCGTCTAATCTGTCTTAGGTCCAAACATGATAAAAAAGAAGTGGGAAGACAAATCAAGAAAGGGTTGCAAGACAAACCAAATCCATCATATGTGGAAGTTCCTCGTCCCAACTCATCGATAATTATGAGAGATTTCTCAGATGCACCTTTCAAAATGGATGCTGTTTCAAGCATCTCTTGCATAAAGGTTGAAACACCACGGAGCTGCCAACCAAAATGTGAAGCAAAATATTTAGAACTTGGAAGGTTTTGCAGATCTACATAGATGAAAGCCTGTTCAAAAGTAACAGCAAGTTTTGACCTAAAATATCCCGAGCACCAGTTATTGGTTAAATTTAAACAGGTACTCCCTCCACCCCATAATATAAGAACGTTTTTTCAAGCAAGCTTGAAAAAAGGTTTTTATATTATGGGACGTAGGGAGTAACATATAAAATATTAGTCATTGACAGCTTCACATATGAATTTCCCCTCTCCCCTGCACTACTAGGTTACTGTCATTTATGTGGCCGTAAAGTGTCTCGCCTTCCTGGCCCTCCCCTCTCCCTTATGGAGCTGGAAACTAAGAAGATCCTGACTCTTTTGTTCGTTTTTTTTTTCTGTGAGGACATCCTGAATGAAGCAGACAATATTTTCAAACTTCAAGATTAAACAAAATAACATAGACCGAAACCTGTTCAAAGGTAACAGCAAGATTCGACCTAAAACATACCCACCACTAGAATAAAGTTTGACAGAAGCACGGCACAGGCTCCACCCCTCTCTGCCCTCAATTTCGGCGTCGGCCGTCGGTGAGCGGCCTGTATCGGCCCTCGATTCCTCTTCTCGTCGTCCGGGCTCTACCCTCGTCGAAGGGCTGGACCGCTCCCAGCTGCGGTCCATTGCTTGTCTCGCGCCCATGGCTGCGGGGCAGAGCTCGTCTCACGCCCGGCAGCAGGACCAAGCTCGTCGCGCGCCCGGCAGCAGGTTCGAGCTCGTCTCGCGCCCGGCGTTTGGACCGAGCTCGCCTAGCACCCGGTGCAGCAGGATGGGTCGATGGAGGCCAATTTTGGCCGGCCTTTTGGGTCTCGGCGCTAGGAGCCGCCCAAGGGTGTGAAAGGCGAGGCCTTTCCACTTGTCTCATTGGTTGGGGTAGCGACGGGTCTCGGGTCGGCACCACGGTGATCACTTCTGTCGTGGTCACCTTGGTTGGGCGTCTTGCCAACCACCTGGACGTCCTCCCCTGCATCGCATCATCATCAGTTGGAAATTCAACTGTGAATATGTTACCGTTTGGAGCATCGTCGGCTGCTGCGCTCCAATTCGACGCTTGGTTTTCTTCAAACACAACGTTGGGTGAAATCTATAGACGCTTGGTTCATGGTTCGTAGAAGCGGTATACCTTGGTGCCGGAACTCCTCTCGTACAGAAAAACACCATCTTGGTGCTACGATCGGCAAGCTTTGAGAGATGCGGCTCCGCCGTCTTCGCATGCGCCACGCAGCCGAATGTCCATAGATGAGACACATTCGGCTTCCGTCCGTAAATTGCTTCATACGGAGTCTTGCCGATCACCGCCTTCGTTGGAGCCCAGTTGAGAAGATAGACCGCCGTCGAGACAGCGTCTCCCCAAAAAGTAGCCGGCAAGTTCTTGCTCTTGAGTAAACTCCTCACCATGTCAACGACGATTCGATGCCTTTCAACAACCCCATTCTGTTGCGGCGTAGAAGGTGTCGTGAGGAACCTTTTCATGCCAATCTTCTCGCAGTAGTCGTTGAACTCATTTGACATAAACTCCCTGCCGCAATCTGTCCGTAGGGCGTGAACCTTCAGCTTGTGTTCCATCTCCGTTGCAGCCTTCAGCTTCTCGAACACTTCAAACGCCTCATCTTTAGATTGTAGCAGAACGACCCACATGTATCTCGAGTAGTCATCTACCACAAGGAAGTACTTCTTTCCTGCGTGAGTTGCTGGGGTGATAGGGCCACATAGATCACCATGGAGCAGCTCGAGTGCATCACTTGCACGATAGGTAGACTGAGCAGGGAACGGCCTGTGGTGCTATTTTCTAACCAAGCACCCGTCAACATGGTCGATAAATGGCATCCGGATACCATCTCCATCTTCGACATCTTCTTTAAGGCGTAGAAGTTAACGTGTCCAAATCTAGCATGCCATAACCACGAATCATCATCACTCTTGGCGAGCCAACACTCCGATTGAGATTGATCAAGGTTGAGGATATAGAGGCTGTTCCGTGTGCGATTCACACGCGCTAGCATGTGTCGGAGGGCTTGAATGGTATCCCACGCATCTGGTCGATGTCCAAGTCGATCATAGATTGTGACAGGCAATGCCACATGCTGCCGGGCCTCAGGTCGTGCTGGTCCGGGTCAGATGGGTTGTTGTAGGGCGTTGGCGCCCTCGTCGCGCTGGGCAACCAGCCTATTCGGGACGAGTGGATGGTCATGCTGTTGTGGGGTCTCTGGTAGCACATCGCTTGTCGTTCCAAGGAGTCACAGCTCAGTCATATTCTCCTGCTGTTCAAACCTAGCCTTGGTACAATCTTTTTTTTGCCCACAGATGTGCACTCTTTTTTTTTGCCCATTCAGCCCAAACCTAGGCATCGGTCGGAAAGTGGTGTCAAAACCTAGGATGTGGTGGGTGGCAACCTGGGATCCTAGAACGTTCAATGAGAGTGTTTGATGGAAGTACGCACACAGCAGTCAGCCAGCTTTGATTACTGATTAGGTATGGATGTCTAGTTCAACCACGTAAGCCAAGGTTGTGGGTTTTTTCATGTGCTCAATATAAAGAAAAAACAAAAGGCACTAATGGTATGCGAAAGGTAGAACGTCCAGGGCTTTGAGACCGCTGGTGCATGTTTGGCCTCCTGACCCGCAGCAGTAGGATGGTAGCTGTTAAGGTTTTGGCTATTTGTTCGATTTCGTTTCTTGGTGTTTTAGGTTTTTGCTAGCCTATTTTTCTTCTTTCCTTTTGCCAGGTTTACCTTTGTAAACTCTTACACCATCTTGGTGTTCTTTTAATACAAAATGACACGCATTTGGGGGCGTGTTTGAGAAAAACAAGTAGAACAGTGAATGTTATTAGCGTGTATCAAATTCTTTGGATGTGATCTTTCTATATGAGGAATTGGAACCAGTTTTTTTTATGTGAGGAGAGAGTTAAAAAGCATGGACCTCAAGCTTTTAAGAATTAATGATTTCCACTAAACAAGGAATTAAAATGGTTTCTATCTTCTTCCAAGAAGCCTTAATCGGCATTGCAAAGGTGACTCGACTACTTCATGTTTTTAATTCCAGTACGTGTGCTTGTACCACCATTTAGAAGAGCAAATTATATGTTGTACAGTTGTAGTTCATGTGATTCTAGCAGAAGCTTACAACAAACTTACAACCAAAAGCATTTTCAATAAATTCAAGAACAAAAGAGCTCAACGACTGAACCAACTTACTTGGCAATCACCAGCACCAACACGAGCAAAAATACAATCTCTCACACTAATGCTTGCCTGATCACAAGGAACAAAGGAACCAACTTGTGCCATCAAGACATTTACGCCAACCTGGTTCCAAAACAAAAAGGGCTTCAGATAAGTTTATGAAATGAAAAACTACAGGCATCACATTCATAGCAAAAGGCTTTGCACAGTGGCAGAGACAGAGAGGGGGGGAGGGGGACCAGCAGGGGCCCTGGCCCCCCTAACATCAGCCATTTCTTGCTAATTTGATATGAACAGTGGCAGAATTGGTCATTATTTGCTACTAAAAATCCATTTTCCAACAGCTTGGCCCTCCCTAACCTGTTTTAGCAGCACTTGGCCCCCCTCATACATATTTTCTGGCTCTGCCACTGGTTATGCATAAAATAAATAGAAGAGAATTGAGGGGGAAAACAAGAAAGAAGGTCCACAGTTCCAAATTTCTTTGGTTTTACTATGATTTGTAGGTACAGCAGCCACCTGAGTCGATTTGGTATTTTTGTTTGCCTTGACTCGATGAAAATACAAATCGATATTTGTTATAGATGGATCCTTAGGTTGCTAAAACTACACCTGATATGGATCTAGGAGGTGTAGGGACAGAGTGAGAACCTACCGGTAAGGAGGCAAGGTAGAGGGGTTAACTCTTCTATTTTCTTGCTTAATGCATCTCCATGAGGTATAGAGAGAGAGGGTCTAACAACACAAATCCCGCCATTTTTTATCTAAGGTGATCTTACTTTATCCTACTAACTGGCTTAAAGCGCATGTAACTGGTAATTAACAGGAAAGCGCTCCTATCTTTCCGTCTCCTCTGACGTGAAATAGGCAGGCAGCAACCCACACCATAAAATAACACCCCTCTGCGACACGACACTTCCACAAGCTGTCTTGTGGGGACCACATATAAAGACCTTGCTGGCACGACCGCCCAACACTGATTAGAAGCTTAAGGACAGACCTCTCAATATGTTGACTACAGTTGATTTGCAAACAACCCCAGCAAAACCTTCGTTGGCCAGCTATTAAGCTTCACTAATTTTGTAATTTGTAAACACTGATCAAATAATTTTTTGAAGCTGCATTTCATAGTTGCATACATTACCGTTTCAAGTATTATGTGCTTATATCAGCACGCAATGCAGCCGCTCCTAATTACTACTATGCATTGCACACCATACTGTCCATGCCAATAAACTTATTGATCAATCCAAAGTACCATACACATATTTTCAGTAAATAATAGAAAAAACTTAATTTCATGAAACAAGTCAAACAAATGCCAAACTGCCATTGATGATATTATAAACGTGCAGATCTTACCTGACGTATAAAAGTGGATTTTCCACCCATGTTTGGCCCAGTGATGATTTGAAACCAACTTTTTCCCCTCGCCTATTTAGAAGAATTTGAAGCGTCACAAACCTTTTTTTCAGGGAAAAGCAGCACGAATCTTGGTGACTAAGTGCTTCCGTGTAAACAAGATCATGATATACTTACCAAAGTGCAATCATTTGGTATGAAGTTAACACCATCTTGGGCCTCCACACAAGGATGCCGACTACCTTGTAGAATAATATCTCCTTCCTCCTGTATTAAATTCGCAGGATTAGAACTTCAGCCACAAAACTAAAAGTGGAATTGCTTCTTTTCGAGGGTATTAGCTAATATTTCTTACCGATGTTGTGATGTCTGGTCTTACATAAGGAACTGGGCAACTTATTGCCAAATCAGCAAAACTCTGTAAAACATCCAACTCGGATATAATTGCAGCAAAATTCTCAAATACCTACATCAAGAATTTAAGATCTGTTAGTCACAAATGACAAAAAAAAGGTAACTACAAATTATTTTATCTAAATGTACCTCTGAGAAGGTGCATGAAACTTGCACTACATTATCAACAATCTTTTTCTGGCAACTTGTGTAATCACCAAGCAGTGACTGGTATTGGTCACCTAGCTTTTTAAGCTTGGCGCTTGTAAACTTCACACCATCTTTACGAGTTTCTATGATAATGTAATTGGTCGTGAGCTTTTTCCTGACTTTCTGTTCATCTTTCTTTGAGATTCTGAACACATGTCCAAATGGGCCTTTTTCTAGCTTCAATTGCTTATCAACAGAAAGATCCAGATCAGTGGCTGTATGCATGTGCAAATTGTTTATGTGATTTTCGACTTCAGAAAGCTCATCCTTCAGCACAGCCAAATCAGAAGAATATAGGGGAGATATCCTGTACTCGCCATTGTCTACTTGACCGAGGTCAATGGCTGTCTCAACAAGATTAGCAAACCTACCATATCGATTCTCTGTCAGCCACTCTTCTAAAGAGCTAAGGAACCTTGTCATTACAGATGTAGAAAATTGGCCATTGTATTGCTGAAGAACACCCTTGATGTATGGGATTCTAGAGCAGGACTGCAAAAACATTGATTAAAAAATGGTGAAATTTTACTTGAGCAAGAAGATTCAAAACGGAAAATAATGGCAAAAGACACATGTCTATGTAAGTATATAAATAGCTTTCAATTTGATATGTGTTAAGGGGGTTGTATTTTACTAGAATCATCACATACAGATATACCCCTCATGTTTAGTAAGTATATAAATAGCTTTCAATTTGATATGTGCTACGACATTCTGTGCAAAGATGCAGCAGCAGCAGCAGCAACAACAACAACAACAACAACAAAGCCTTTAGTCCCAAACAAGTTGGGGTAGGCTAGAGGTGAAACCCATAACATCTCGCGACCAACTCATGGCTCTGGCACATGGATAGCAAGCTTCCACGCACCCCTGTCCATAGCTAGTTCTTTGGGGGTTGTTTGGATACCTAGATTATAGGAAACTAGTTTTCCTTAAACCCGATTTCTGGTGTAACAACCTAAAACATTGTTTGGATCATCTAACTAACTCGTGGATATACTAAACTGAGTTTTCCAAAAAAAACAAAAAACCAGTTTATACAAAAACGACTAATAGACGTTTTTATACAAACGCGTTCTCTATATGCATCAGGAGATCAGCGAAGTCCGACGCGCTGATCATGGTAAACTCCGCCGGACGCGACAGCAGCTTGACAAAGCCAAAAGACGTCGTTGCCGATCTCGGCCAGGCAGCCGGAGCATGCAGGTTGTGATGATCCACCTAGACCAGCGCCTCCATGGCGGATGTAGACTTGGGCCGGCTGCCGTCGTGTCCATCGGCCGCTTCACACTTCACAGCCACCGTCGTCGTCAGCTTCTACGTCGTCGTCACGCCTCCCTAGTATGTGTGTTGTGCTCTGCTGTTACCGGCCAATCGATCCGGCAGCTAGCTAGATGCTACATGCATGCCCGGCTTGAGAATCAATCAAGGTGCTTTACGTCGTGTACTCGTGTCTTGCCGTATGTTAGCTGCATGTACGTGCTTCTTTGATGGGAACCTGAGCTAACATGCATGACACCGGCAAACGAAGCCAAGCACGATCAGGCGAGCAGCGCGACCACCCTGGCGGCCTCGGCGATGGCCGCGCACCCTCGCGAGAGAGCAGTTCACGGTGTGGTTGTCCGCCGCTGTGCATGTAGGTGCCAAGAGCAAGCCGAAGCACCGCACCTCCATGAATTGTTTGGGAAGAACTCAAAATCGTGTTTTTCTAATTTTCCCATCCAAACAAGGTATTGGGTATACTTACCTTAACAGAATAACTAACCAAAACTGGTTTTCCTAAAAATCCTCCAAAAACTCGTTTTCTAAAATCTCACATCAAAATTCCCTGTATCCAAACAACCACTTGGTGATACTCCAATCCTTCAAGTCTCTCTTAACGGACTCCTCCCATGTCAAATTAGGTCTACCCCGCCCTCTCTTGACATTTTCCGCACGCTTTAGCCGTCCACAAAGATGCAGCAACACAAGCACAAAAAAGGCCCAATTCATTCACTCAAAATATGTTATCTGAACCATATACTAACAGTTAAGAAGCCAATATAACAGTGTCATAAATTTATCTGCATACACATTTTAGCCAAACAACCATATTTGCAAGAAAGAAACAGCAGGTAGAAGCAAAAACCTGGTAGAGCTTAACAACAGGCTGCAGGTTGGCTGATTTCTTACGGAGAGCATGTGTTAGGCGATCAATATCAGATATCCTTTTAAGTTGTTGCCTAAGACCCTGACGAAGCTCCGGATCTTCTGCGAAAGCCTGAACCATATCTAATCTGTTATTGATTTCGTTTACATCTATCAAAGGTTGTTTCAGCCATTTGTTAAGCAGTCGCTTTCCCATCCCAGCAGTGCAGGTTCTGTTCATCAAACCAAACAAACTAAAATTCTTGTTTACATCAGTTTTTCCTTCAACAATATTCAATGCTCGCACCACGGCAGAATCAAGTCGCATGTAGCGGTCCAAATTGAATTTCTCAATCGTGTAATTTCCATAATTAGTGTCATCTGCTAGCAACTCAGCATATGATACTAGAGCTCCAAGGGTACCCAAAGCATAGTCAAACTGAGATAGGAGATCACGAACTGGCTCGACAGAACCCCTGATTATTCTACCAAGATCCTGCACAAGATCTCTAGATTTAAATTCAGCCTTCTTTCTTTCAGTCAGTAGAATGCTGCAATTGCTAATAGCATCCTGAAGAGGCTGCAAATCTATTGATTTCTCAAAATCTGCTGGAAGAAGACACTCCTTGCAACCTAATGCAACAAGGGCTGATTCCACATTTGTAAATCGACTATCTTCAGGGAACTCAGCCAACCCAAGCTTCCGGTTCGTCATATCCACAAAACTAAGCGCTACATATAGCTGACCTTCACGGAAGACAGGAAACAATGCAACAGTAACCGGGGAATATTGCATGTCATTGTTTGCAAACAGAATATCTTCAAAACTGCCTATGTTTCCAGGTGTTCCAGATTTTGTTAACCTCCAACTTGACCCACTTCCCTCATAGAGCTCCAGTGTATGGTCCGTCCTATCTAACAAAAGGTTGCGTGCAATGGTCTCAAACATAGCCCTGCTAACACTGACACTTGAGATTCCATCAGAGTTACCGCCCAGCTGCCTTAAGGCAGTCATTGTGTGATAGTATGTCTTCGCAATAAAGGTTGCATTCTCACCATGAGCAGTGTAATAATCCTGGCAGAACGTTTAAGCTTTAGTTTACAATATTCCCAGGAATTTGATGTATACAAATAATTAGTTCAAGTAATCTGAAGAGCAATCAGCTAAGATTTAGCTCTGTGTGGGCAGGTGCATCTCAAGAGTTGTAACTTCTACACGATAAAGACAGCCTTCTTTTGATGTAGGAACGCATAAGAAGTGTGTCAATAAAATCTATAACATATGTCTTGACTAAATTACTTATGAAGAAAGATGCATATGTTTGCATGAACTGCCTAAATGCACAAAAAGGTAGAAGTGGGAGACATTCTTATAACTCTCTCTAGCATTACTGCATTCTACTAGTACTCATATGATGAAACATTTCTGCATATTCAACCATTTAGATTGCATTCCAACAAATTCAAAACGATATCCTACTAGAATCATTATTCATGAAATATCAAGCCCCGCAAAGTGTGCATATTGTGCTAAGATGCCAAACAGAGACTAAGTCTGCAACATCAGTTAGAGGTGCACTCTCCTAGTGAATGGAAGTTTTTCATAACGCAGCAACAGAGCATGGGACTGAAACTTTTTCTTTTTAGGAACTATTATGGTTCACAAACTTTGGTCAAGGAAAGTCTCAAATTGCATGATAGATACGTACATTATCTCACTCACATGATACCTAAAATATCCAACAAATTAGAATAACACTAACAGCCTTATATGGCGACCATCCGTAGTAGATATTCTCATATGATGTAAAGAGAGTAACATGAAATTTTAACTATTTTCCTATCATGTTTGTGAAACTGATCATCAAGAAATAAATACTGGAGCACATCTACACATACAAGAAAACTGTAACAAACATTAATGCGAAAGTACTTACCCGGCGATCAAAGAAACGAATGGCCCGAGGATCCTGCAGTATCAAGAAGATAATGTTACCTCCAACTCAAAAAAAAATGAAGTTACCTAATGCAGAAAAATGTCACCCAGCATATTCACTAGAAATCCAGGGGTCGGGCTGGAAGAGTCTTACCTTCGGCAACTTCTTGAAGAAGGAGATGAAACCCTGGGCTTGCCTCGCATCTATCCAATCACGGAAACGGAATCGATCAGAAAAAAAAAAGGAAGTCAAAACCTAATGCACAAAGAACATACGAGACAAACAAAGAACGAGAGCGCACGCACCTAGCTTGAGCTCCGGGAGCTTCCCCCCCTCCGGCAAGCAGTCTTCGCTGTCCATGCCGCCCCCAATGCCGCCGGGGGGAGAGAGGGATGGTGGTGCGGGCGAGGTGCTCGGCGAAATGTGGGCAGACGCGGGCGGCGGGAAAAGTTAGGGGTTTCCGCGGGAGAGCCGAACGGCGCGCGTGTGGGATGGGGGATTTCGCGGGGCTTTGTGGGCGGAGCGGCGGGGGTGCGAGAATCGAGGATACCGGGAAATGCGCAGTCGGGACTCGGGCCGATATTCAATAAACGGTTTTTGTAAATTCCGAACGTTCGGAAATTGACAAAAGATCCGAACGACTTTTTTACGGCACGATCAGCATGGAGCGATGGGAACCTCCAGCAATTTTCTCCCTCACCGAATAGGTAACTGCCTAATTTCCTTCCGCGGTTTTCTCCCTCACCAAATAAATCGCTCCCTCCGCTTTTTTTTCTTCCCGGACACAGCCTAATTTTCTCTCTCCGCTGTTTTTTTCCGTGCTGGTCATTGCTCAATACAAAGGAGTAAAAAATTATTGGGCCCACCAAGGATCGAACCCAGTGCTTTGTTGGTTTATGAATGATGCCAATGACCAACTCCTCACCTAATACCATTTTATTGTCCTGTCATTGAAAATATCTATGTGACCTTTTTTAAATCTCATGGCAGCGAAAGAAAAATTGTTCCTTTATCATTCGTTGGCCCCCTCTACTACATTATAAATTATGGAATTAGGCATGCATACAAAAAAAATTGTTGGTAACTTTGACCCGAGGGAAAAGAAGTTGTTGAAAACATCCCTGATAATTTCTATGTAAATGTTATGGTAATTTACGCATAACGAAGCTGATAACTATTTGCACAAACACCATGGTAACTTTTGATTTGGAGGTAAAAAGTTGTTGAAAACATCCCGGTAACTCTCGTGCAACTAGCCTGATAACTTATGCATCGCAGAGTTGATAACTCATGTACAAACACCGTGGTAAGTTTGACCCAGAAAAATAGTTGTTAAAAACAATAGTCTAGGGTAACTTCTGTGTAAATCGCATGATAATATACTCAGCCATACCTGATAACTTAGGAACAAACACCACGATAACTTTTAGCCGATGATTTTTTTGTTGAAATGCACACACCGATAATTTGTATTTAAATAACATGATAATGTACATACAACAGAAATGATAACTCATGCACAAATACCCCAGTAGCTTTTTTGATTGGAAAAAAGATTGTTGAGAAATATATCCCGATAACTTGTGTGTAAGTAGCATGATAATATACACCCAATGAAGGTGATAACTCACATGCAAGGCACGGTAACATTTTTGACTCGATGAACACACCCAATAACTTTATAATTTTTGTGTCAATAGTATGATAATATATGCACAACACAGCTCATAACTCATGTACAAGCACCACGACACAACAAAATGCCTAAATAAGCCTGGCCCGGCAAGACCCGCAAAGTTCCGTTTATAAGAAAGCCATGCCACGTCAGCATGTGGACCTCACCCGGTCCAGGCACGGCATGGATGGTGGATGGTGGTATTGCAGACACGATAAATTTACTTGCAAATCACTCGGGCAAAAAAGTAGTTGAAACATGCCCCGATAACTTTAACATAAACAAGATGACAAGTTATGAATTATAGCCATGATAGTTTACATAGTTCACACGTGGTAACTTTTGACCTGAAAAAAACGTCGAAACATATCAACATGGGATTTAGTTTCGAAGATCTCGTCGCGGCGAATCTTTTATATGAAAACAATTTTCCGACCATAGCAACAATTTAAACTACAGAACATTTTGAAGTTTCCATTTTGAAATTTCAAAATAGGGAGAATTTGGGATAGCATCAACGTTCTTTGTCATCTAGTGCATGTATGCATGCGCACATGGGAAGGTTCGAAAACCATTTTTCATGTCTGGTAATTTCTATGAAAACAGCTTGGTAACTTTTGTGTCGCAGACGTGATAACTTACATAGTCTAGACATGATAACTTTCGTATTGGGGAACGTAGTAATTTCAAAAATTTCCTACGTACATGCAAGATCATGGTGATGCATAGCAACGAGAGGGGAGAGTATTGTCCATGTACCCTCGTAGACCGAAAGCGGAAGCGTTAGCACAACGCGGTTGATGTAGTCGTACGTCTTCACGATCCGACCGATCAAGTACCGAACACACGGCACCTCCGAGTTCAGCACACGTTCAGCCCAATAACGTCCCTCGAACTATGATCCAGCCAAGTATTGAGGGAGAGTTTCGTCAGCACGACGGCGTGGTGGCGATGATGATGGTCTACCGATGTAGGGCTTCGCCTAAGCACCACTACGATATTATTGAGATGGACTATGGTGGAGGGGGCACCGCACACAGCTAAAAGATCAATGGTCAATTGTTGTGTCTCTGGGGTGCCCCCCTGCCCCCGTATATAAAGGAGCAAAGGGGGGAGAGGCGGCTGTCGTGGTTCTAAGCCTGACAGTAGAGTGGGGGGTAGGTATGGAGAGGCAAGGTCCTAGCTATGGAGAGGTTGTAAGCACAAAGGATGTACGAGTTCAGGCCCTTCTCGGAAGAAGTAACAGCCCTACGTCTCGGAGCCCGGAGGCGGTCGAGTGGATTATGAGTATATGAGCTACAAGGTGCCGAACCCTTCTGCCTGTGGAGGGGGGTGGCTTATATAGAGTGCGCCAGGACCCCAGCCAGCCCACGTAGGAGAGGGTTTAAGGTGAGTTAAGTCTGGGGCGTTACTGGTAACGCCCCACATAAAGTGCCTTTACTATCATAAAGTCTACTTGATTACAGGCCGTTGCAGTGCAGAGTGCCTCTTGACCTCCTGGTGGTCGAGTGAGTCTTCGTGGTCGAGTCCTTCAGGCCAGTCGAGTGAATCCTAGTTGGTCGACTGGAAGGCGACCTCCTCTAAGGATGTCCTGGGGTAAGTTACTTGGATCAGGTCCATGACCCTACCCTAGGTACATAACCCCATCATTAGCCCCCGAATGGATTGAGGCTTCGAGTGAAGAAGGAGTTGATGTCGTTTCCGATTAACTTTTGCGCTCCAGTTGTGCGCTGTTCTGGACCAAAGAATCTCTTCGTCGACAGGAAGCAACTTGCCTTCAGTCGACTCGATCCATTCTGTTTTTGCGTCGAGTGATCTTTCAGGCTTCGACGATCTCCGAGCGACGGATCGCCGGAAACACCGCGCCTGACAGACTGATTTGCTGTTCGCGGATTCCGCGGGATGCGAAATTTGGGGACGCGCGCGAAGCGGGGCGGACCGCGGCGTTCGGATGGGACGGGGCATGGACGCCTCGATCTCCGCGCCGCCTTTTTCGCCACGTATCCCGTCTGCATAACTGCTCCAGATATGATTAGATCGACCGGGCCCACCTATCATCCACTCGGAAGGGACCTTATAAATGTGCCCGGCGAGGATTTCTGTGCTGCGCCTTAGCATTCTCCCCCTCTCTCTGCTTCCTTCCTCCCTGCTCAGCGTGCTCGCTCTCGCCCCCGCACCACTTCCCTTCGCGCATCTCACCGGCGACCATGGCCAAGGAGAAGACGGCGGCGCTGGAGCGTGCAAAGAAGGCGTCGGCATCGGAGAAGGCGAAGGGGAGATCCACCAGCCGCGGAGGGTCCTCGTCCAGATCCCGCCTGCCGAAGGGCTGGGTCCAAGGAGACTGGATCCAGTCGACCATCACGGAGAATGACCTCCTCGACATGGCCAACGAGGGCTTGATCC